GGCCAGTGTCACTAACCTGCATACCATGCAAGGTGATGGAGAAGATTGTGCGAAAAAAGGTAATGGAACATCTGGGGCGAAATAACTTTGTAACACAGCATCAACATGGGTTCATGGATGGCAAGTCCTGCTTCACAGGATTAATTGACTTCTACGACCAGGCAAGATAGAGAGGGATGGGCAGACTACTTATCTATGGATTGCCAGAAAGTCTTTGACACAGTACCACATAAGAAGCTAGTGCATAAGCTGGAGATGCAGGCAGGAGTGAAAGGGAAGGTACTCCTTTGGATAAAGGAGTACCTAAGTAACAGAAGACAGTGAGTCACTGTGAGGGGTGAGGTCTCAGATTGGCGAGGTGTCACCAGTGGAGTCCCGCAGGGTTCAGTCCTTGGACCTATACTGTTTCTGATGTGTAAATAATCTCCCAGAGAGTATAGCATAATGTCTCAATGTTTGCTGATGATGCAAAAATTATGAGAAGGATTAAGACAGAGGAAGATAGTATGAGGCTACAAGATGACCTAGACAGACTGAATGAATGGTCCAACAAATGGCTACTAAAGTTCAACCCGAGTAAATGTAAAATAATGAAACTAGACAGTGGAAACAGGAGGCCAGACACAGGATACCGAATGGGAGATGAAGTTCTTCATGAAACGGACAGAGAGAAAGATCTAGTTGATATCACACCAAACCTGTCTCCTGAAGTCACATAAAAAGAATTTCATCCGCAGCGTATGTAAGGCTGGGTAACATCAGAACTGCCTTCAGGAACCTGTGTAAGGAATCCTTCAGAACCTAGTATAACACATATGTAAGACCAATCCTGGAGTATGTGGCCCCAGCATGGAGTCCGTACCTTGTCAAGCACAAGGCGAAGCTTGAAAAAGTTTAGAGGAATGCCACTAATCTAGTCCCAGAACTAAGAGGCATGAGTTACGAGGAAAGGCTGCGGGAAATCCATCTTACGACACGGGAAGACAAAAGTAAGGGGGATACACGATCACTACCTAGAAAATTCTCAGAGGAATTGACAGGATGGATAAGGTTAAACGGGTGGTACGCGAACAAGGGGACACAGGTGGAAACTGAGTACCCAAATGAGCCACACGGACGATGGGAAAGAACTTTTTCAGTGTCAGAGTAGTTAACAGATGGAATGCATTAGGCAGTGATGTGGTGGAGGCTGACTCCATACATAGCATCAAGTGAAGATATGATAGAGCTCAGTAGGCTCAGGAACCTGTACATTAGTTGATTGACAGTTGAGAGGCGGGACCAAAGCGCCAGAGCTCAACCCCCGCAAGCACAACTAGGTGAGTACACATACACAAAACACACACAAAAAACACAGAAGGATTAAGACAGAGGAGGACAGCTTGAGGCTTGACCTCAAGCTGTCCTGTGAGAAGACCTGGACAAGCTGCAGGAATGGTCGAACAAATGGTTGTTAAGAGTTTAACCCAAGCAAATGTAATGTAATGAAGATAGGTGTAGGGAGTAGGAGACCAGTTACAAGGTATCACTTGGGAGCTGAAATACTTCAAGAGTCAGAGAGAGAGAAAGACCTGGGGGTTGACATCACGCCAGACCTGTCCCCTGAAGCTCATATCAAGAGGATAACATCAGCAGCATATGCCAGGTTGACTAACATAAGATCGGCGTTTAGAAATCTGTGTAAGGAATCTTTCAGAACTTTGTATACCACATATGTCAGACCAATCCTGGAGTATGCAGCCCCAGCATGGAGTCCATATATAGTCAAGCATAAGACTAAACTGGAAATGTTCAAAGGTTTGCCACGAGACTAGTACCCGAACTGAGGGGTATGAGCTACGAGGAAAGACTACGGGAATTAAACCTCACTCACACAGCACCGCTCCTGTGCCAGGTAAGTCCACTACGGGCTCACCATAGCCCGTGCTACTTGTTTCGAGTAGCTGAATCTATAACAACAACAACAAACCTCACGTCACTGGAAGACTAAAGAGTTATGGGGGACATGATCACCACATACAAGATTCTCAGACGAATTGATAGGGTAGATAAAGACAGGCTATTTAACACAAGGGGCACACACACTAGGGGACACAGGTGGAAACTGAGTGCCCAAATGAGCCACAGAGATATTAGAAAGAACTTTTTTAATGTCAGAGTGGTTGACAAATGGAATGCATTAGGCAGTGATGTGGTGGAGGCTGACTCCATACACAGTTTCAAGTGTAGATATGATAGAGCCCAATAGGCTCAGGAATCTGTACACCTGTTGATTGACGGTTGAGAGGCGGGACCAAAGAGCCAGAGCTCAACCCCCGCAAACACAACTAGGTGAGTACAACTAGGTGAGTGCACAAAAACAGCCAAAGCACACAGCTAAGAGCACGTGCCACACACACACACACACCTGCCATCACATGTGTACACGGGAGGTACACACCCGCCATCACATGTGTACACGGGAGGTACACACCCGCCATCACATGTGTACACGGGAGGTACACACCCGCCATCACATGTGTACACGGGAGGTACACACCCGCCATCACATGTGTACACGGGAGGTACACACCCGCCATCACATGTGTACACGGGAGGTACACACCTGCCATCACATGTGTACACGGGAGGTACACACCCGCCATCACATGTGTACACGGGAGGTACACACCCGCCATCACATGTGTACACGGGAGGTACACACCTGCCATCGCATGTGTACACGGGAGGTACACACCCGCCATCGCATGTGTACACGGGAGGTACACACCCGCCATCACATGTGTACACGGGAGGTACACACCCGCCATCACATGTGTACACGGGAGGTACACACCCGCCATCACATGTGTACACGGGAGGTACACACCCGCCATCACATGTGTACACGGGAGGTACACACCCGCCATCACATGTGTACACGGGAGGTACACACCCGCCATCACATGTGTACACGGGAGGTACACACCCGCCATCACATGTGTACATTGGAGGTACACACCTGCCATCACATGTGTACATGGGAGGTACACACCCGCCATCACATGTGTACATTGGAGGTACACACCCGCCATCACATGTGTACACGGGAGGTACACACCCGCCATCACATGTGTACACGGGAGGTACACACCCGCCATCACATGTGTACACGGGAGGTACACACCCGCCATCACATGTGTACACGGGAGGTACACACCCGCCATCACATGTGTACACGGGAGGTACACACCCGCCATCACATGTGTACACGGGAGGTACACACCCGCCATCACATGTGTACACGGGAGGTACACACCCGCCATCACATGTGTACACGGGAGGTACACACCCGCCATCACATGTGTACACGGGAGGTACACACCCGCCATCACATGTGTACACGGGAGGTACACACCCGCCATCACATGTGTACACGGGAGGTACACACCCGCCATCACATGTGTACACGGGAGGTACACACCTGCCATCACATGTGTACACGGGAGGTACACACCCGCCATCACATGTGTACACGGGAGGTACACACCCGCCATCACATGTGTACACGGGAGGTACACACCCGCCATCACATGTGTACACGGGAGGTACACACCCGCCATCACATGTGTACACGGAGGTACACACCCGCCATCACATGTGTACACGGGAGGTACACACCTGCCATCACATGTGTACACGGGAGGTACACACCCGCCATCACATGTGTACACGGGAGGTACACACCCGCCATCACATGTGTACACGGGAGGTACACACCCGCCATCACATGTGTACACGGGAGGTACACACCCGCCATCACATGTGTACACGGGAGGTACACACCTGCCATCACATGTGTACACGGGAGGTACACACCCGCCATCACATGTGTACACGGGAGGTACACACCCGCCATCACATGTGTACACGGGAGGTACACACCCGCCATCACATGTGTACACGGGAGGTACACACCCGCCATCACATGTGTACACGGGAGGTACACACCCGCCATCACATGTGTACACGGGAGGTACACACCCGCCATCACATGTGTACACGGGAGGTACACACCCGCCATCACATGTGTACACGGGAGGTACACACCCGCCATCACATGTGTACATTGGAGGTACACACCTGCCATCACATGTGTACACGGGAGGTACACACCTGCCATCACATGTGTACACGGGAGGTACACACCTGCCATCACATGTGTACACGGGAGGTACACACCTGCCATCACATGTGTACACGGGAGGTACACACCCGCCATCACATGTGTACATTGGAGGTACACACCTGCCATCACATGTGTACACGGGAGGTACACACCTGCCATCACATGTGTACACGGGAGGTACACACCCGCCTACACTCACGCATCTCTCATAATAAAACAAAGTCGCCAAAACAACCCAATTTCCAACGAGTGATATGGAGGGAAGATGATCACTTGAGAGGTGGTGTTAACGGGGGAGTAGAGATGTTGGGGCAGTGTCTAGGTGGCTCCCAGCTGGCTCCCAGGTGGCTCCCAGGTGGCTCCCAAGTGGCTCCCAGGTGGCTCCCAGGTGGCTCCCAGGTGGCCCCCAGGTGGCTCCCAGGTGGCTCCCAGGTGGCTCCCAGGTGGCTCCCAGCTGGCTCCCAGGTGGCTCCCAGGTGGCTCACCTCAACCCCGCCACGCCCACCCCACACCGCCCCAACCCCGCCACGCCCACCCCACATCGCCCCAACCCCGCCACGCCCACCCAACGCCGCCTCAACCCCACCACGCCCACCCCCACGCCGCCTCAACCCCACCACGCCCACCCCCACGCCGCCTCAACCCCACCACGCCCACCCCACGCCGCCCCAACCCCGCCACGCCCACCCCACACCGCCCCAACCCCGCCACGCCCACCCCCACGCCGCCTCAACCCCACCACGCCCACCCCACACCGCCCCAACCCCGCCACGCCCACCCCACGCCGCCCCAACCCCGCCACGCCCACCCCACACCGCCCCAACCCCGCCACGCCCACCCCCACGCCGCCTCAACCCCACCACGCCCACCCCACGCCGCCCCAACCCCGCCACGCCCACCCCCACGCCGCCTCAACCCCACCACGCCCACCCCACACCGCCCCAACCCCGCCACGCCCACCCAACGCCGCCTCAACCCCACCACGCCCACCCCAACCCCGCCACGCCCACCCCCACGCCGCCTCAACCCCGCCACGCCCACCCCCACGCCGCCTCAACCCCGCCACGCCCACCCCCCACGCCGCCTCAACCCCGCCACGCCCACCCCCCACGCCGCCCCAACCCCGCCACGCCCACACCCACGCCGCCTCAACCCCGCCACGCCCACCCCCACGCCGCCTCAACCCCGCCACGCCCACCCCCCACGCCGCCTCAACCCCGCCACGCCCACCCACGCCACGCCCACCCCACACCGCCCCAACCCCGCCACGCCCACCCCCACGCCGCCTCAACCCCGCCACGCCCACCCCCACGCCGCCTCAACCCCGCCACGCCCACCCCACACCGCCCCAACCCCGCCACGCCCACCCCCACGCCGCCTCAACCCCACCACGCCCACCCCACACCGCCCCACACCACAGGATCACAAGTCCCGCGTGCTGTTCACTCGGCCGACAGGCTCCCTGTATCATGGCTATAGTATGGTGGCCAACACGTATGGTCACCATACGGGTCGGCAGTGATCGTGTTGACTACGTCCGCGTATTGACCTGTTCATGGCTACAGGTAAGACAGGATAATTAGTAGGAGAAAGCGCTAAGCCATTATGACTACAAAGCCCAGGAAGAGATGCGAGGATAAGGATGAGGGAGAGTAAGAAGGAAAGGAATGGTGCCTACGGGATGGAGCTCCCTAGCTCTTGAGCCCCACCTTTCAAACACCCGTTGTCTGAAAGGTGTCACAACTCCCCACCTATTTTATGTATCACATCTGCCAGGACAACCTCTCACTATCCCCAAGATGCAACTGACAACTGCGCTAACTTGACTACCTGTTCTTCATTACCAAGATCAATGTCCCCGCGGCCCGGTCTCCGACCAGGCCTCCTGGTTTATGGTGTGATCATCCAGGGCGTTGGATGCGGCTCCTCGCAGCCTGACGTACAATTCACAGCCTGGTCGATCAGGCATACTAGGTAGCCATTTACTGTGTGTGTACCTGTATATAGTTCAGTCTGTGCCTATCTGTCTGTACCTGCACGTGTATGTCTGTACCTGTATTGGTCTACCTGTGTCTGGCTAGTCTTATATCTGTCTGTACCTGTATGTCTGTATATCTGTATCCGTTTGTCTATCTGCAATATGTCTGGAAATGTATCTAATTGTATCTATATCTGTATTTCTATCACTATGTATATTTGTGTATGTGTATTTAATAATATTTATCTGTACCTGTATTTGTGTCTGTGTATATCTATATGTGCATTTGTCTATGTCTGCACCTGTTTTTGTATCTATCTATGCCTGTATCTGTCTGTAATTGTATCTGTCTTTACCTGTAAGTTTCTGCAAATTTCTTCATATATCTGTACCTGTATCAGACTGTGTGTGTGTGTATATCTGTATATATCAGTCTATATCGGAATCTTTATCTGTATGTATATATCTTTATATGTCTGTGCTTGTATAGTTATACGTCTGTAACTGTATCTGAAATACATTGGAATCTTTGTATCTATATTTGTACGTTGTTTATGATTCCCTGGAACAAAAAGTTCCAAGCAGCACGGGCTATGGTGAGCCCGATATTTGTACGTACGTACGTACGTGCGCGCGTGTGTGTGTGTGCGTGCGTGCGTGTGTGCGCGCGTGTGTGCGTGTGTGTGCGCGTGTGTGCGTGTGTGCGTGTGTGTGTGTGTGTGTGTGTGTGTGTGTGTGTGTGTGTGTGTGTGTGTGTGTGTGTGTGTGTGTGTGTGTGTGTGTGTGTGTGTGTGTGTGTGTGTGTGTGTGTGTGTGTGTGGTGTGTGTGGTGTGTGTGGTGTGTTTGGTGTGTGTGTGTAGGGGTGCGCGCGAGCACTACAGGAGGAGGAGGAGGAGGACTTGGGTACTCACTCAGGTCTGCCGAACTGGTCTCTGGGGATGTGGTTGGTGCGAGGGGCGGCCTGGTCCCGCTCCATCAGCATGGCGCGGAACACCTCCACCTTCTCCTGCACCTCCTTCTCGCTGTACCTGCGGCAGTAAACATTACCATCACATCACCCACACTTTACACCACACACACACACACACACACACACACACACACACGCACCCACCTGTATGTGCCCCACAATACAGGTGGGGCATAATGGTGGCTTGGGTGCTCCTGGAGACAGCAGCACCACACAGGAAGACAGGTGGGGAACAGTGTCACAACTAGAGTTTGGAGCAGGAAGGGGGAGGTGGGGAGTGAGGGAGGGGGGGGGGGGTTAGGGAAATAACCCCCCTACGTTACGGTGATCAACAGTAGCCAGGGTAGACAATGAGTGATCAACAGTAGCCAGGGTAGACAATGGGAGATGAACAGTAGCCAGGGTAGACAATGGGAGATGAACAGTAGCCAGGGTAGACAATGGGAGATGAACAGTAGCCAGGGTAGACAATGGGAGATGAACAGTAGCCAGGGTAGACAATGGGAGATGAACAGTAGCCAGGGTAGACAATGGGAGATGAACAGTAGCCAGGGTAGACAATGGGAGATGAACAGTAGCCAGGGTAGACAATGGGAGATGAACAGTAGCCAGGGTAGACAATGGGAGATGAACAGTAGCCAGGTAGACAATGGGAGATGAACAGTAGCCAGGGTAGACAATGGGAGATGAACAGTAGCCAGGGTAGACAATGGGAGATGAACAGTAGCCAGGGTAGACAATGGGAGATGAACAGTAGCCAGGGTAGACAATGGGAGATGAACAGTAGCCAGGGTAGACAATGGGAGATGAACAGTAGCCAGGGTAGACAATGGGAGATGAACAGTAGCCAGGGTAGACAATGGGAGATGAACAGTAGCCAGGGTAGACAATGGGAGATGAACAGTAGCCAGGGTAGACAATGGGAGATGAACAGTAGCCAGGGTAGACAATGGGAGATGAACAGTAGCCAGGGTAGACAATGGGAGATGAACAGTAGCCAGGGTAGACAATGGGAGATGAACAGTAGCCAGGGTAGACAATGGGAGATGAACAGTAGCCAGGGTAGACAATGGGAGATGAACAGTAGCCAGGGTAGACAATGGGAGATGAACAGTAGCCAGGGTAGACAATGGGAGATTATTACTTATTTATACAACTTATTATACATATTATTTTACATACAACTTATTTTTAACTGTTTATTTATTTATAAATAAATTTATTAAATAATTTATTTATTTAGTTTGTTTATTGTTTAAGATTATACAACTTATTTTAACTGTTTCGATTGTGATTGGTAATGTTTTTTTTGTACACATGTACAGTAATACTGTGCACGTGTACAGTATTACTGTACACGTGCACAGTATTACTGTACACGTGTACAGTATTACTGTACACGTGTACAGTATTACTGTACACGTGCACAGTATTACTGTACACGTGCACAGTATTACTGTACATGTGTACAAAAAAAACATTACCAATCACAATCGAAACAGTTAAAATAAGTTGTCCCAAAGAGAACAATAAATTATTGCATAAATCTAGGCCAACAATTGTCATTTATACAATACAAACAATGTATTATGAACGAGGTCATTTGTGTGTATAACACACTGCCAGCCTGGGGGGGGCTACAGAGACCACTGCCAGCCTGGGGGGGGCTACAGAGACCACTGCCAGCCTGGGGGGGGGGCTACAGAGACCACTGCCAGCCTGGGGGGGGGGCTACAGAGACCACTGCCAGCCTGGGGGGGGGGGCTACAGAGACCACTGCCAGCCTGGGGGGGGCTACAGAGACCACTGCCAGCCTGGGGGGGGGGCTACAGAGACCACTGCCAGCCTGGGGGGGGGCTACAGAGACCACTGCCAGCCTGGGGGGGGCTACAGAGACCACTGCCAGCCTGGGGGGGGGGGCTACAGAGACCACTGCCAGCCTGGGGGGGGGGGCTACAGAGACACTGCCAGCCTGGGGGGCTACAGAGACCACTGCCAGCCTGGGGGGGGGGGCTACAGAGACCACTGCCAGCCTGGGGGGCTACAGAGACCACTGCCAGCCTGGGGGGGGGCTACAGAGACCACTGCCAGCCTGGGGGGGGGGCTACAGAGACCACTGCCAGCCTGGGGGGGGGCTACAGAGACCACTGCCAGCCTGGGGGGGGGCTACAGAGACCACTGCCAGCCTGGGGGGGGGCTACAGAGACCACTGCCAGCCTGGGGGGGGGCTACAGAGACCACTGCCAGCCTGGGGGGGGGGGGCTACAGAGACCACTGCCAGCCTGGGGGGGGGGGAGACCACTACAGACAGAGACCACTGCCAGCCTAGGGGGGGGGGGAGACCACTGCTACAGAGACCACTGCCAGCCTGGGGGGGGGCTACAGAGACCACTGCCAGCCTGGGGGGCTACAGAGACCACTGCCAGCCTGGGGGGGGGGGCCAGCTACAGAGACCACTGCCAGCCTGGGGGGGGGGCTACAGAGACCACTGCCAGCCTGGGGGGGGGGCTACAGAGACCACTGCCAGCCTGGGGGGGACCACTGCTACAGAGACCACTGCCAGCCTGGGGGGGGGGGCTACAGAGACCACTGCCAGCCTGGGGGGGGCTACAGAGACCACTGCCAGCCTGGGGGGGGGCTACAGAGACCACTGCCAGCCTGGGGGGGGGCTACAGAGACCACTGCCAGCCTGGGGGGGGGGGCTACAGAGACCACTGCCAGCCTGGGGGGGGGCTACAGAGACCACTGCCAGCCTGGGGGGGGGGGCTACAGAGACCACTGCCAGCCTGGGGGGCTACAGAGACCACTGCCAGCCTGGGGGGGGGCTACAGAGACCACTGCCAGCCTGGGGGGGGGGGAGACTACAGAGACCACTGCCAGCCTGGGGGGGGGGCTACAGAGACCACTGCCAGCCTGGGGGGGGGGAGACTACAGAGACCACTGCCAGCCTGGGGGGGGGCTACAGAGACCACTGCCACACAGAGACCACTGCCAGCCTGGGGGGGGGGCTACAGAGACCACTGCCAGCCTGGGGGGGGGCTACAGAGACCACTGCCAGCCTGGGGGGGGGGCTACAGAGACCACTGCCAGCCTGGGGGGGGGGCTACAGAGACCACTGCCAGCCTGGGGGGGGGGCTACAGAGACCACTGCCAGCCTGGGGGGGGGGCTACAGAGACCACTGCCAGCCTGGGGGGGGGGCTACAGAGACCACTGCCAGCCTGGGGGGGGGGGCTACAGAGACCACTGCCAGCCTGGGGGGGGGCTACAGAGACCACTGCCAGCCTGGGGGGGGGGGCTACAGAGACCACTGCCAGCCTGGGGGGCTACAGAGACCACTGCCAGCCTGGGGGGCTACAGAGACCACTGCCAGCCTGGGGGGGGCTACAGAGACCACTGCCAGCCTGGGGGGGGGGCTACAGAGACCACTGCCAGCCTGGGGGGCTACAGAGACCACTGCCAGCCTGGGGGGGGGCTACAGAGACCACTGCCAGCCTGGGGGGGGGGCTACAGAGACCACTGCCAGCCTGGGGGGGGGGCTACAGAGACCACTGCCAGCCTGGGGGGCTACAGAGACCACTGCCAGCCTGGGGGGGGGGCTACAGAGACCACTGCCAGCCTGGGGGGGGCTACAGAGACCACTGCCAGCCTGGGGGGGGGCTACAGAGACCACTGCCAGCCTGGGGGGGGGGCTACAGAGACCACTGCCAGCCTGGGGGGGGGGCTACAGAGACCACTGCCAGCCTGGGGGGGGCTACAGAGACCACTGCCAGCCTGGGGGGGGGGCTACAGAGACCACTGCCAGCCTGGGGGGGGGGCTACAGAGACCACTGCCAGCCTGGGGGGGGGCTACAGAGACCACTGCCAGCCTGGGGGGGGGGCTACAGAGACCACTGCCAGCCTGGGGGGGGCTACAGAGACCACTGCCAGCCTGGGGGGGGGACTACAGAGACCACTGCCAGCCTGGGGGGGGGCTACAGAGACCACTGCCAGCCTGGGGGGCTACAGAGACCACTGCCAGCCTGGGGGGGGGGCTACAGAGACCACTGCCAGCCTGGGGGGGGGGCTACAGAGACCACTGCCAGCCTGGGGGGGGGGCTACAGAGACCACTGCCAGCCTGGGGGGCTACAGAGACCACTGCCAGCCTGGGGGGCTACAGAGACCACTGCCAGCCTGGGGGGCTACAGAGACCACTGCCAGCCTGGGGGGGGGGCTACAGAGACCACTGCCAGCCTGGGGGGCTACAGAGACCACTGCCAGCCTGGGGGGCTACAGAGACCACTGCCAGCCTGGGGGGCTACAGAGACCACTGCCAGCCTGGGGGGCTACAGAGACCACTGCCAGCCTGGGGGGCTACAGAGACCACTGCCAGCCTGGGGGGGGGCCAGCTACAGAGACCACTGCCAGCCTGGGGGGGGGGGCTACAGAGACCACTGCCAGCCTGGGGGGGGGGCTACAGAGACCACTGCCAGCCTGGGGGGGGGGCTACAGAGACCACTGCCAGCCTGGGGGGGGGCTACAGAGACCACTGCCAGCCTGGGGGGGGGCTACAGAGACCACTGCCAGCCTGGGGGGGGGCTACAGAGACCTGCCAGCCTGCCAGCCTGGGGGCCAGCCTGGGGGGGGGGCTACAGAGACCACTGCCAGCCTGGGGGGGGCTACAGAGACCACTGCCAGCCTGGGGGGGGGCTACAGAGACCACTGCCAGCCTGGGGGGGGGGCTACAGAGACCACTGCCAGCCTGGGGGGGGGGCTACAGAGACCACTGCCAGCCTGGGGGGGGGGCTACAGAGACCACTGCCAGCCTGGGGGGGGGGCTACAGAGACCACTGCCAGCCTGGGGGGGGGCTACAGAGACCACTGCCAGCCTGGGGGGGGGGCTACAGAGACCACTGCCAGCCTGGGGGGGGGGCTACAGAGACCACTGCCAGCCTGGGGGGGGGGGGCTACAGAGACCACTGCCAGCCTGGGGGGGGGGCTACAGAGACCACTGCCAGCCTGGGGGGGGGCTACAGAGACCACTGCCAGCCTGGGGGGGGGGCTACAGAGACCACTGCCA